ATACACCATTTCTGCAAATAAATAATTGCCTTTTATGATTTCACCAATGACCGATAAATCCACAATGCATCCACAAATGAGGCTATTTCAATGTGAAGTATCCGTACGCGCATCTGTGTGTGTGTGTGAGAGAGAGAGTGTCCAATTGCATTATAACAAATTTCTATAATTAAGTCAACATTAAATCAATGTACGGCCAACAATTCCATCTGTATTATCATCATTAACACTATTATTTGTGGAATTTCATTAAATACTTGGAAAATATGTGCGGTTGCAATGCAATGCAATGAGCAATCGTTCTGGTTGGCTTTAAATCAACAGGTGGCTGTGATGCTTTGTGGGTCTCCAGTGTGCAAAAAAATAATTTTTATTTTATAAAAAAAATAAAAAAATAAATGGAAACTCAATTATAATAATTGCTGCTGGTGAAAATATATGTGTCAATGGAATAACAACATTCTACTGCTTCGTTCTGCTTCTTGCTTTTACTTTAATACCAGGGTATTTATTCCGGCTACTGCGGGTAGTAATGCCACCAACAGTAGCTGGAGGAGAAGACACAACAGCGGTAGTACTATTTATGCCATTGATTGTCGCAACTAAAATAGAAAAGGAAGCAAAAAGCAAATACTTTTAGGTTTTATCATTGTAAACAATAATAGAGAATATTGTTTTGAAACAAAAAACGGCGCTGAAAAATATAATGGAACGGATTCAAAAGAAAGTGGAATGCAATAGAATAAAAAATGTCATTGTTATTTGAACAATGGATATACAGGGAGGTCTCAGAATCTTCTTTCTAGAAAGGAAAAAACAAGAACTGAGTGAAGTAAAATCTGGTTTCAATTGCAAGTAATAGATTTAAACACAATATGACAGTATAGCTACTTTATGTTCGGTCATACGCCTTATTTTTGTAAGCAACTTCACACAAAAAGAAAAAAAAAATTGGCCATATGAGGAAATAATTCTCAATGCCTTTAGAATTGGTATATCACAATTGGCAAAGTAGATAATAGCTGAAGACGACAGTCAAACTCCGATTCAGAATGAAAATTTAATACAAAATTATTTTCCAGTATTAAATTTAATACCATGATATTTACGGAACTTTTTAACTGAAATCCGTATCTGGTACAACTTTTATGAGAACTTAAAATAAGAAGTAAAAGAATCGTAGAATATCGCTCCCTTAAAAAAATACTAGACATTGACTATAATAAAAATATTTGAAAACCAAAACTAAAAATACGTTGACCTGTGAATACTTTTTCATGAAAATTTTGAAATCTACTTTAACTCTGTTAATGCCAAAAGTCAATTTCCACCCAAGCTACGTATCTCTACATCGTACTGAAACAACTTTGTTGAGGCTTGTTTGATCTCCTTCAATCTTTTCGCTCCCTGAGATTCACTCGCGCAGTTAATTTAACAACTCAATTCCTCTCTTTACAGAAGGAGTATGGCGAATGGTCTCCGCGACAACCGAAATCCACTGTACCGATCGTTCATCAGAAGACAGTTACAACCCGATTGTCAACGAGTTGACAACAATCAAATATATCGTCAAAGTTCCGTCCTGAAGGTCGATAATCTGATCTTTTTCGAGATAGATACTTCTATCTCTATCTTCTAGATATATAGTTCATAGTTCTCTAGAAGAAGACTCTTTGATCCAATAGAAACACTTCTGACCTTCTGGTAATTTAGGAAAAGACAACCTGGCTTTCTGGGAGAAGATCATCGGGTTTTCTAGGAAAAGACCGTTTGAACTTCAATAGAGAAAACCGTCTGATCTTTTATGAGAGAAGAACTTTTGGTCTTCTGTGAGGAGGCCTTTGAGCTTCCAATGAGAAGACCTACTGGCCTTCTATGAAAAGAACTTCGGGTCTTCTATGAGAAGACTTTCTGGTCTTCTATGAGAAGACTTCCTGGTCTTCTATGAGAAGACCCTCTAATCTTCTATAAGAAGACCTTCTGGCCTTCTATGAGAAAACCTTATAAGAGAAGATCTTCTGGCCTTCTATGAGAAGACCTTCTGGCCTTCTATGAGAAGACCTTCTGGCCTTCTATGAGAAGATCTTCTGGCCTTCTATGAGAAGACCTTCTGGCCTTCTATGAGAAGACCTTCTGGCCTTCTATGAGAAAACCGTCTGATCTTTTATGAGAGAAGAACTTTTGGTCTTCTGTGAGGAGGCCTTTGAGCTTCCAATGAGAAGACCTACTGGCCTTCTATGAAAAGAACTTCGGGTCTTCTATGAGAAGACTTTCTGGTCTTCTATGAGAAGACTTCCTGGTCTTCTATGAGAAGACCCTCTAATCTTCTATAAGAAGACCTTCTGGCCTTCTATGAGAAAACCTTATAAGAGAAGATCTTCTGGCCTTCTATGAGAAGACCTTCTCGCCTTCTATGAGAAGATCTTCTGGCCTTCTATGAGAAGACCTTCTGGCCTTCTATGAGAAGACCTTCTGGCCTTCTATGAGAAGACCTTCTGGCCTTTTATGAGAAGACCTTCTGGCCTTCTATGAGAAGACCTTCTGGCCTTCTATGAGAAGATCTTCTGGCCTTCTATGAGAAGATCCTCTGGTCTGCTAAGGGAAGACCCTCTGGCCTTCTATGAGAAGACCGTCTCGCCTTCTATAAGAAGACCTTCTGGCCTTCTATAAGAAGGCCTTCTGGCCTTCTGTGAGAAGACCTTCTGGCCTTCTGTGAGAAGATCGTCTGGCCTTCTAAGAGTAGACCTTCTGGCCTTCTAAGAGAAGACCTTCTGGCCTTCTAAGAGAAGACCTTCTGGTCTTCTATGAGAAGACCCTCTGGCCTTCTTTGAGAAGACCTTCTGGACTTCTATGAGAAGACCCTCTGGTCTTCTGTGAGAATGCCCACTGGTCTGCTAAGGGAAGACCCTCCTGGCCTTCTATGAGAAGACCTTCTGGCCCTCTTGTCTTCTACGAAAAGATCCTCTGGTCTTCTATGAGAAGACCCTCTGGTCTTCTGAGAGAAGACTCACTGGTCTGCTATGGGAAGACCTTCTGGTCTTCTGGACCGTCTGGCTTTCTATGAGAAGACCTTCTTCAAGAAGTTCTTCTTCCCTTCTTTGGGAAGACCTTGTATTCCTTTATGAGAGAAGAGATTCTGGTATTCCATTTGAGAAGACCTTCCGATTTTCTTGGAATAGACATCTTTTTTTAGGCGAGCAACTGGTCATTTATGAGAAGAGCTTCTTGCCTTCTAGAAGCAGAACTTATGATCTTCCATGATCTTCTATGGGAAGATCATCAGGAGTCAATCTTTCTGGTCTTTAGTCTTTTAGGACAAAATTCCTAGTGATCTAAGAGAAGATCTTCAGGTCTTTTTGGTCTTCTAGCAGAAGGCCTTCTCGCCTTCCTGGAGAAGATTTTCTGGTCTTCTAGGAAAGATGTTTTGCTTATTCGTCCTTCTTGAAGAAGACTTGTTGGTCTTCGGCGAGAGAAATCCTAACCTTCTGGTCGTCTATTGGAGAAGAGCTTTGGGTTTTCTACGAGATAAAATGTTCTCTTCTTCTATGAATGCTCTTCTATGAGAGAAGATCATCTGATCTTCTTTTCTTCTGGGATAATGGTCTTCAAAGATATGACTATGAGGCGAACTTTTTGCTTCCTTGGGGCGTTCTTCTGGTTTTCGGTGACGCGAGGTCCTGGCGTTCAAGGACTTTAAGACTTTATGTGAAGTTCTTCTAGTATTCTAGCAGAAGACCCTCTAGTTATTTGAGAGAAGAACATCTGTTTCATTTAAAAGGTGGCCTTGTGGATATTTTATGAAAAGATCTACTGTCTACTGTCAAACCAAAAATACACATTCATTGAAAGGCCATATTCGATTTCATTTAATTTCATTAACACTGTGTCATTTCATTTAGCTACCACCCCCGCCCACTCGGATGGATATATTCCATTGCTCGAGACCTTCACAACACAAATTCCATTAACTGAGTTCATGACACTTGATAAGAGATTTTGTCGCCTTACAAACGAGAAATTACGACTAATGTCCTTAGGTTTCAATTTCTAAGACATTTCTAATTAAACGAAGAAATTTTCAATACAAAGTTTACACTTTGCTGTGCATTTGCCTTGATTTTATGAGGCTTCCTTGGAAAGGAAAAACTGAAGAAAGCTATACAAGTGCAATGGCTGAAAAAAAAGAGCTGAGGACAAACATTTCATTAAGGCAAGAAATGAGTATCGAAAGGACCTTGGGCAACAGCAGCAAGTGAAGGAGACAAAGAGAGGATGTGAAAGAAAGGGGGTAAATAAAAATAGTACGAATGCCACGTTACTTTGATAATGACTTTTTCTGTTTACTTCTTTTGATTGATTTTTTTTTTCAATTAAAAAAATTGTGATTATGAAAAGGCTAGTACCCGAACAGAGAGAAATGTTTTTGAAATTAAAAAAAGAAATATATAAAGAAAATATATATTTGCAATATTTATGGGAGTAAAAGTAAAGTTCAATTATTTTTATATGATCCTTCATTCACAACGTCACACTTTAAGAACACAAATAAGAAAATCCCCTACAACACCTCAAAGGAGATGACCGTCCACTTCCTCCTTCCTCCCAAACGAAAACCAAACATAAATGACAACTAAAAAGAAAGCCAACCCCCCAATGGGGAAATAATGTAAATACCAGCCAAAAAAAGAGAGTCAGTAGCATAAAAAAGGTCTGATTATTTTTCTACTTCATTATCGATGCAATGGAATTTGGGATTTTCTTTTGTGCTCCACCGTATCATTTTCCAGTCAAAGTCTACATGGGCTTTTCTCTTGTTGGATGCTGCCGTCATCCCAAGGGTCATAAAACCAAAAGCCATAATATCGAATCAATATCTTCTTCGGTGCAGACAACACACAAAAAATAAATGCCACAAAAACTTCTTAAGAAATATCCAATCCCCCTCCCCCCAAAAAAAGTTGAACAAAAAAGAAAGACAAAAATCAAATAACAACACTCACCTAAGGCATGACACTGTAGAATTTTCGTTCGTCCTTCACTGACTATGGAACTGGACGACGATGGCTGTGTGGTGAAGCGTGGCGGTTGTAGCTGTTGACCATCTGCAAAGAGGAGAAAGAAGAAGAAAAAAAAATAGCAAATAAAATTAGTTCATTTAGAAATAAACAATTGGTCCGCAACAATATTTCACATCAAATTTAATATGTTTTGGTGCTGCAAATTGTTTGTATTTTTTCTTTCTAGATATTTGTAAACAATTTGTATTTTATGATTCAATAAACATTTGATTGGCTTTAAATGTAAACAATAAAAATATAGGCGAAATTATTTTTTAATAATTTAGGGATGATAATTATTTCATGACAGAGTCTCAGTTAATATTCTCCACAGAGTAAATACAATAGATAGATTGTTTTTTTTTAATTTTATTTTTTTTAATTATTTTCAATTTTAAAAATTAAAAAAAAAATGCAGCGAAAAAAAATTTAAGGAGATTTGCTACTCGGCATCTGTCTTTATCCATTAAACATAGCATAGCAGTTAGGGACTTTTATCCACAAAAATCATTTTGAAGGTATTTTATCTACAGTAAATCACTTGAAGGTCTTTTGTTCATAGAATACCTGCCAAAGGCCTTCTATCTGTAGAACACCTGTTAATAATCTTTTCTGCCCACAGGAGATTTTTTCAGACCACAGACAATCTGTTAAAGTTATTCTATCAATAAAATACCAGCTAAAGATATTCAACCCACAAAACGCCTCTTGAAGAATTTCTATCTTGCATCCATAGTAGACATGTTAAAGGAGGTGGCTCGTTAATGGTCTTCTCTCAGCCTTATGTTTACAAGGCGTCTCTGTATATATGGAATCTGCTAAAATATTCCTCGTCAAAACAGAGGTTTTGGACCACATGTTTCTTTGAAAAAAATCCATTACTGGACCAGTATTGACCTTGTCCGACCATTCATTTTTGCCAAAACTAAGGTCAGGTGCAAAAATTTAAATTATATGCCCAGTCTCACGGGTACCTCCCTTACTAATTTCAATACACTTAAAATATCATATATCTACCGAAATTAAAATAAATTATATATATGTTCGGGTTTTCCCCTCTGGTACTCCCCCCAAAATCCCAAAAATTTTGAAAAATTCAGAATCCCATATAATGAAAAAGGATAGTTTAATTATGTCGTATACATTCGCCAAGCTTCCTTAAGGTGCAACATTTTCAAAGAATATTTTCTGTCTACGATTGCGGATTTTTTTTTTCAATTATTTTTCATCAAGGACGTGGATTTTTTTAAATAAACATGTATTAAACAATTTTTTGTTTTTTTAGAACTATTTCCTGGTCAAGAATCGTACCTTCAAGTATTTTCTGCAATTTATTTTTATTGTATATTTGGATTTTATTGTATATTTTTTCAAGATTTTTACACAAGAATTAAAATTTTGTGAAAAAAGAAATAAATAAAATCTCCTAGCCATAAATCGATTTTTTTCTGAAAAAATTTTCTTCTTTTTCATCATAAATGTCCTGGCTAATAATAAGAGTCGATTTTTTTTAAATATTTTGAGGTTTTTCAAGCACTTCCTATAAATGTAAATCTTGTTTCTTTTTTAATATTTTTCAAAAACATTCCGGCTAAAAATTCTAATATTTGTAAAAAATAATCTTCAATGATTTTTAAATCAAAAAAAAAAAAAAAAAACTTTTTCTCAATGATTTTGTGGTCGAGAAACCTTTATTTAAAGATTATTTTCAAGGACTTCCTATAAATATAAATCTTGAAACTTTTTTAAATATATTTTTCAAAAACTTTCAAGCCTAGAATTCAGACAAAAAAATCAAAAATAATCTTCGAGGACTTTCAAGCCAAGAAACATTGATTAATAAAAGACATCCTGTCCGACAATCGTAGATGTTTTAGAAATAAAATTTGAATAGTTCTAGACAAGAACAGTGGATGTTTAAATATATTTTCCAAAGACTTCTCGGTCAAGTGTCGTTGCTATTTTAATATATTTTTCAAACACTTGTACGCCAATGGACGTGGTTTTAATTAAAAAATAAGGACTTCTTGACCAAAAAATCGTATTTTTTTTTAAATTATTTTACGGACAATTTCATCCAAGTATCGCGGATTTTTTTCAAGTATTTTCTCAAAGATTTCCCTGTCAAAAATCGTGCATTTTTTAAGCAAAGTTTCTCTATATTTGCGTGGACTTTTTACGACATTTAGTGCAAAATGTTTTGGATTTCGTAGGAAAATTTTTAATTATTCTGATGTTTTTCAAGATCATACTGGGCAAATAATTTAGAATATTTGTTAACATTTATTAAGGGCTTCTTGGCCAAGAACATTGGATTCTGTACAATTTTTTTAAGGACTTCCTGAATCGTGGATTTTTAAATATATATTTAAGAAGTTTTTAGAAATAGATTATATTTTTTCATCGAAATATTCAAGGAACTTCTAAAAATAAATACCACCTTGACAGAACATGGTTTCAATGATCTGAAATGAATACCTTCTCTATGTCGAAGATCTTCTCCGTCCCTTTGAAAGGTATTTCCTGCATAGAGGAAGAAGGTCTTCTCTTCCCTTTATAGAGAACCTTATACAATTCTCCTTCCAACTCACTTCTTTGTACAGATGACCTTATTCTCTTCTAGAGTTCTTCTGTGAAATGAAGACCTCACAATGGCATTGGCCGCTAAAGATGTCTTTAAAATACATTCTATGTATGAAGAACTTCTAGAGATATTATCTGTAAAGATTACCTTTACTCTGTATATAATTTTTTTATAAAATGCTTATTTTTATCGAAGACAATTTTCAAAAAAAAAAAAAAATCTTCGAATTTTGAGGGGTATATTACGCTTTATCATGAACTGATAATTTAATAGTTTTCCCAAGATTACAAATACAAAGAAATTATTGTTTTTTTTTTTAATTTTTTTTAGGATTTGCTGGAAAAATATCTATTTTTTCAAAAGCTCCTCTTATATAAATATATTCTTTTTAAAGAATTTCTGAATAAAAATCGTCTGTAAAAATCTTGGAATTTTAAAGATTATGTTTTAAAGGCCTTTTTAAAAAAAATCAGGGGCTTTTCAGGAAAATATTTTTATTATTATTCCAATTTTTATTCTAAAAAATGTGGAAAAATGTTCAGATCGTCCTGGCAAAGAACATTTTGATGTTTTCAAGACTTCTGGACAAAATACATGACTATTGTATTTTTGATCGCAATTTTTAATATACAGATAATATTTTCATTCCAACGATTTGATTAGATTCCTCACATTTTAAGTTCCGCCGATTTGTACAGCAATATTTTTTTATTCCTACTTCAGATACCCGCCCAAATTTTTAAATAAAAATACCATGGATTTAGACAAAAATTTCTAGTTTCAGACTTTGAGGAGAATTTTCAAAAGAAAACAGGAGAGATTAATTCTGGCAAACTTTAAGCAAAAAAGTACCTGAGTTTTTGAGGAAAAAATAATTTTGATTAATTTTTCAAGAAGCCTGACGACAATTATTTATTGATATATGTATATATTTGTTATGATTTGAATTACAGGGGAGGAAGGGGGTCCGCAAATTTTGTTGACTCTACAACATTACACCGTGGAGTCATGCATAAAATTACTAAAAATACGTTACGGTTGATTTCATTGATATGTTAACGCCAAAACATCTGCTGTTCTATTATTATTACGAGGGTGGCTTTGGTGGTTCTGGCGGTGAAGGTAATGGGTTTCTTGCCATCGGTTGGGGCATTTCAGAGGTTTGCTGGTTTTTCCTTTCACTTATGTGGCATAAAAATAATAATGCATAATATTATGGTTTGCTTCGTATTCCTCCGCTTCCTTTTCCCTCTTTAGCTACTTCTTCAGCCACTGCTGCTGATTACAATGTAAATGATACTTTTAAAAGGTTTCTTCTTCTTCGTCGTCATCGTCATTGTCGTTTTTGCCATACAAAATGCATTTTATGTCTTTTTAAAAAGCAAACTCAAGAATAATGCAAGAAGACCAAAATGGAGAGGAAAAGAGAGGTAGAGCAAGTAAAGTATGCTCGAGTGAAACCCAAAACGATAAAGTGTGGCATGCCTCTTCGTTTTTGTGTTGTGGAGGCAAAATTTAGGGTGCGGTAGTTCCATTTTGAATTTTAAGTAGCTATCGAGGGAAGAATACCAAACAAAATTGAGTTGCAGTGCTGATGGCTGGGTGAAAGGGTGAGTAGAGTGACAACGGCTGAACATTGATGACTTGCAGCTACTGATTAAATGCACTCGCCATTTAGTTCAGGTTCACATATGGTTTCCTGTTATGATGATAGACACAAACGTACATACATCATATGTGAGTGATGCAAGGGAAGGGGTGTAAAGGGGTATGTCTTTCATCAACATTATCGGTTGCTGCCATCATTAAAACATTAGCAGCAGCATCATTGCAAGATGGGAAAACGAAATTATTATTTTTAATTTCCAAAACCTTTTAAGAGAACTGCTGCTCATTTAGGAAATGTTGTAATGAATATTGCCATAAAATTTTGAGAGCGGGTTTATGGAAAGTGGAGAAAAGGATTATTTTTTAGAATGCTTGCACATGTGCCATATGTGGTAAAAGTAGGAAAATTTTAATATGAGATAAAAAAATAATTGAGGGGAAATGTTAGAAAATAGAGGATATCATAAGTTTCTTGTAATAGAGAAAAAATAATCTTGAATTTCATGTGTCCCAAAATTCCTTTGGGGGTTTGAACTACGAACCGATTACTCTCAATTCCAATCAAAATTTCCCACAACCCACAATATTGACCGTTGCACAGTGTAATTTTAAGACAACTTGCAGCGGATTCGGAAGAATTGCTAAATTTACCGAAAGTAAATTTTTTTTTTATACCCTCAGTCATATGACTAGAGAGGGTATATATCATTTGATACGGCCAAAATATGCCACATCGAAATAATGGTGTTAGACCTTTGGTTTCATTGGACCAAACCCGTTTTAGGACACTTGGAGTCTAGAGATCGGACGATTTCTTTTGGCACCTCCCCCACAAAGGGTCAAAATTTTGAAT